AAGCATCTCCAAAGATGATTCCTTCAACTCAGGTTTTATGGAATATAATCTTAAACTTGGAAAGAACAGAAATACATACATGCTCAGATGTGAAGGCAATGAGCCTGGGAACCGCAGCCATTCCTTTCTCCTTGACTTCTGGGAACATCTTAAAGCATGCAATCAGCATGGCATACATGTTAGATATGGCGCCACCTAAAAGCACAGCAATGCAGTTACCTTTCCTGGTCACCATGAACACCGATTCACATGCAACAACCCTCATTTCCACCAATCTACAGTCCTCCTTGGTTGCAGGAGACCGTCTCATTGGTTATCCTTTGAACTGAATCCTCAGACTCAGGTGCTGGCTCAGATGGTCCAAAGAAGGAGCACCGGGCCAGCCACAGGACAGACGCTCTCCCTCCGCACCCCTTCTGTGTCACTAAGAGGAGCTGCATTTGACTCTGCTCTTCCTGTGAACCCTTTGAACATGCTTGTAAGAACTGTGAAATAGCTGCCTTCCCTTCCAGATTGCAAGTGTGGCCATTCTACCTCAGGCCCGTGAAATCCTGATTACATCCTGATAGAGAACACTTATTTCTGTTCGTTTCAGCTCACACAATGATGTGCACTTAGACTGAGGCAAATCGGTTGCTCTTAATGATGTGGACTGTTAATCAACAATTTTTAAAGAATGAGGATAAACATCTAAGCTCATCTCATCATAATCATGTTTGTTAATCCCCCAAAACAGGTCTTACCTCTCAAAGACATTGAAATAAAATTGTGATATTTAACCAAATCTTATTTTATAATTATAGGAAAACAGACAACTAAGGGAATTCAATACCATATTGAATTGCTTTTCTTGTGTGATCCTAAAATTGTCAAAGATGTCACACCATAAGATTTGTATCCATATAAAATGGTCTCATTTGATAAGCAAATAAAAAGTGAGCTTTTCCCCAAGATTGTTGGAAAGTTTATGGGTTTTATTATACAGGAAAAAGACTTTTGTGCATGCAAATGAACATGCTGGCATGGAAGTTGTGAGACCATGAGGCAGAATGAAGGTGTTATCTCCTCCTTTCACCCAAAGGGGGACACAGCCAGGCCATGCGATCATGTGGGTGCTTTGAGATCCCTTCCCTTCAGGTGGGAACTCAGAAAGGGCCTCCGTACCAAGCTGAATGGCCCACACAAGGCCATGACCTTTGCCTTGTGAGAGCTGGGCTCTGATGCAAGCAGGAAGCCTGGTACAGAGCAGGCATCACCCAAATCTTGGCTCCATCATCAGTCAGAATGAGGGCAATTTCTAAATCTTCTGGACCCCAGAGACGGAGGGCAAGCAGAATCCAGGTCATGCCTGGGCCCAGTGTATAGGGTGCTGTTAGGCAAGGGACCAGCTTTTAAGGGAACTTCTCCAGCTCATGGTTTCTCAACACTGACACATGATGATATATTGGGCTGTGTAATTCCTTGCAGTGGGGGCTGTCCTGTGTACTGTATGGTGTTTAGCAGCACCCCTTGCCTCCACCCACCTGGTGCCAATAGCACAATGTCCCTTCACCCAAGTTGTGACAACCAGAAATTATCAATGTCTCCAGATGTTGCCAAACATGCCCCAGGGGGCAAAACTGTCCCTAGTTGAAAAGCACTGCCCTAGGTGTCCTCTCAGAGAAGCTGAGGAGAAAGGAGGGCAGAAGGAAAAGGGAAGATGTCCATAAAGAAAGTCCACTGCATAGCTTAATGATCCAAGAGGCTTCCAGCTCTGCTTTCCCACTCCTCGTTCTGCAGTTCAGTCATTTTCCGTCTAAAGGTTCAGTAGCCCCGAGAGGCTTCTGGGCCTCCGGACAGAGCAGACTTCCCTGAACAACCCAGGTAGGAGGACAGATGCATGACATGCTCTTACTGATTATCAATCTTCCAGAAAAAGGATGCAAACACAAGCCCCCCATGACTTGCTGAGCAGTGAGGAGTGCTCCAGCTCTCTGTGTGTAGACGGCGTCATCACAATGACAGATGTCTTCTGGAAGTCCCAAAGGACTCTCCACAAAGCATGAAGCCTTTGGAGGATGTAGATGGCAAAGTTAAGGCAAATTGAGCTGAGCTATATATTCAAATCACAGACCTAACTCTTCATATTTAATCCCCAGCAATGGGACTTTCAGATCTTACGTCCAATGGTCACATGGACTTTGTCACACTCATTTTTTAAATCAACATACAACCTATTTAATCTAAGCAGAAATACAGACTAGATATTTAATCATTCATTCCTGTTTTCATAATGAGGCATTGCATATCAGAAGAAAAAAAACACAAAGAAAAGTTGAAATGTCAAATACCAGGAGAAAATATCCCATCGCCAGAGCCACCTGGCCAGCCAATGATTTCTCTCATTTTCTTTAGCGTGACATATTCCAAAAGCACAAATACTGGAGTGATTTCATAGGTGAACCTGAAATGTAATAATGGCCATACTTTATGTATGTAACACAAAAACATAATTCACCATTGCAATATCTACAGAACTGTTTCCTTTTCTAAACCCTACATTCACAAATGTCACAATTATAGCATTCCGTAGAGAGAAAATTATGTCTTCTATAAGGTTTGTTCATTTTCTCATTCATCGAGTCAAGAGCTTCAATTATTGGCTTAATGCCCAACTGTCATTTATCATATTGAATAAATAAACAACAATGCAGAAAAACATATGTAAAAGCCAACATCTGGTCCCATTTCTCTTCCACATTATAAAATTATGAATCCAATATGCCAAAAAGAAAGTCCCTTTCTGTTTAAAAAATGTCATATAGCTTTGATTGCAAGAAAGATGTAACAGGATTATTTTCTTGTAAGCTAGCATGAATACTCACATACTTATGAACTTTGTATCACGATTTAGGGGCTACTATAAAAAGATATTTTCACATGACAGATAGAATAAAGACTATGGAATGTCTCTAATAATTATCCTGGATTACACAAAAACACATTTAGCTCCATACATGTTGGTGTTTGCTGTCGATGTCAGCCAGTACGCTGCTAATCCAACCATATCCAGTCCAGAGGAAAGTTGATTGAAATACCTGGGATGTCCTGAATGAAAGGGAATACCAGAATCAGGACCACATCCAGGGAAAATGAAAGTCTTTCAAACACATGATTTCTTTAGTTAAAGAACCTTGAAAGATCCTTCAGTAATAGGAAATCTATATTCAAAAACCCAGTATACATACAGACACCCCCAACCTCCCACCCTGGGAGCATTTCCTCTAACAAAAGAGTCTATTTGGTTTTTTATTTCTTAAAACACACTCCAAAAATCTTCCTTTAAATGTACCCCACCAAAAATAACAAAATGTGGTTTGCAATGTGGATGTTAATTTATTTCCTAGCATTCTTTCAACATATTTGCAAACTAACATGCTAGTGCAATCCAAAGCTATTCAGACAGGCTATTCTTGTTTACGCTCATGCTGCTAAAATCCTTTTTCTGTTGAAGTTGTTCTGGGAGTCAGTCATAACATGACATCCACCAGGTATGCCAGCATTTATAACAATACCAGTGACAAATGGCTGATGATTACAAAAGACAAGCCAAAAGTGAGAAAATAGGACACTGTTGAGTGATTTGCCCTGGATTCAAAAGGTGATGATTGTCTAAAAATGTCATGGACAAACACAACTCTAGTCAATTCCTTTCTGTGCAAATACTTGATATAAACAACAGAACTTCTTTGTAGTTGCGATTTAAAATAAAGCTGAATACAGGCAACATCACCATCTTGTCAGCAAGATACATGAAGATACATTCAATAGACTGATCAGTCCATTAGCAAGGCTTATCTAATTAACTTGTGGACTTCTCTAAAATTCTCTAAAGGGGTTGACATCCAAACACTCCTGAGGCTATTATTTAAAATGTGATTATAAATATAGCATTAGAATTCTGTTTCCTTGTCTTGCCCTGTAAAAGCTTATCTCTAAATCTGTGGTTTGCTTCGCATCAAAAATTTTGGAAGATTAACATTTATGGAAATAGCACCTGATAAAAAGGTATTCGTCAATTACTGGATACCTGTCTGAAGCCTGGAGATGTGATAGTCTCTCACGCCAGCATGGGCAAAACAAGATAAAAGAAGGCAATTGAGAAAGAAGGGACAAAGTGTCAACACATAGCTTATCTCCAGGCCTGGAGTGCTTTCTTATCAGCCTCTGGCATGTGGCTAGACAATTAGACACTGAGCAAAGACAGGAGCTGGGAAAGGGCACAATTTAAAGAGACTGGGATTTCTGTAGCTCTCGCTTTTCCTCCAGCATTGTTTTATATCCTGTGGCCTTGCACATGCCCTTCCATCTTTTGCTTTTCTCCCAGCCCTCCGATGCTGACCCTGTCAGTTTATGCCTCCGTGGGAAAAAGTTTCTTTGCTGCTGCCCTCACTGCCGCCTCTGGAACAGCCCCTCCCTCCTCTCTGCCTCATTGACTCCCAATGTCAATAGAGCTCACAGCTGAAATCACAGCCTCTTTCTTTCTCCCGATGCCCCTTTATTTCTTTCCTTAAGCCATTTCTTTAAAGAGAGGAAATTAATAAGGATTCACAAATCTATCCACTAATCTACTTTCCCGACTTAGATGCATTTTCTGGATGAATCTGGCGCCTGTTGTCACATACTATTTACCTCTATGAAAACTTGGGTATGAACACCTGCATGCAGTTGAGAGGGATTCCAAGGGTGTGTTGTGCCCCAGAAAGGCCAGTGCCTCCCACCCCCACGACTGCCTTCGGGAAACCGGTTTGATGCTTCAGTTGCTTGGCACCCATCTATATTTTTTTGACCTCAGTCTCCCAATTCACCTGACTCTCTCCAGCCTCAAAATTGTCATTCATTGATAATCCTGTGAAAAAATGTAGGGAGACAGCTTGAGTGGTGAGAATATAGTCTCCTGATTTCTGAAGTAATCTGCAGAAATATTATCTTTGTTCTCTTCCCATGACCCCTACTGGCTGCCAGCAAATCCAGGCGGGGCTCTCTGAGAGAACGGTGTGAGAGACGTTCCTTGGAACCTGCCAGCTGTTCCGCCGGCCTGGGCATTCAGATGCTGCTTCTGAAGACCCCCACCTGGCCCCACGCTGGGGAATCAGTGACCAGGAACAGACAGGGAGGCAGGCAGTTGAAATGCAAGAGCAGAGTGGCTCCTGTCCCTGGAACACTCCCCATAGATTAGCAAATGAGCCAGGAGGGATGTGCCAGAGCTGTGAACCGCCAGCCCCAGGCAGCTCTGACCCTGAAGTCTACAGTTAGCTGGGGAGGGGCCCAAAGTTGGCCCACACTGCTCTCTGTGTACTAGCCACACATACCCAAGAAGGCATTATTTATTTACGCTTCAATTCTTTTGTCTGATGGTTCAGTTAAAAGACCCAAGACACATGAATCCCGCCACCCTCAATCCCTGCGACCACCAAATCTAATGATACCCACCGATGCTAATTATTCCAGAATCGATCATTCTCTGCAGCTTTCAGTCTGTGTTTCAACATTTCTTACAAAGGTCATTCTAACAGTCCACGAAGACTTCGTTTTAAAATTATTTCCCCTCTGTCCCTCACTCCTCTCAAAGCTAGGAGCCCAAGTGGAAATTAGGTTAAGGACTCAGAGGAAAGCAGATAGTAACATGCATTTCATAAAACTACCTCCCAAAAAGCTTTAAAATGCCTAATGGATGCAGGGATAGTAACTACTTTATAGACCCTAAAATGGTACTAGTTGTCAAATACAAATCATAGCATAAACACCTATAAACTTGCCAGTCAAAAGGGAATATGATGCTATTAGTTCTTTGAAATGCTATTTGTGGGATGGGCAAGGGGACGCAAGAAGACTGCATGTATTATGAGTAATACTGACATACCTTGCTTAGAAATCCAACATATCACATTTTTTTTCTGAACTTTAAAACCAAATATATTGGAGCCACACTTGACCAACAAACAGATCATAAGCATTATGGCAAAATCTAAGTATTGAATTGACCCATCTTTTTCCTGCCACCAAATGGAACATTGATAGACAGATTACTTTCATTGACTTGCAATTCCCATTATCTTGACTCTTTAAATTGCTTTTAAAGATGAAAATTGAAGACATTTTTATAGGTTTTTTGGTTTGTAGCAATAAAATTGTTTTTTAAAAAGTAGCTACTTACTATTAATATTAGGTTAAGGGAATGGGTCAAACAAAAAGGAATTAAAAGCATTGTTCAAGTTTGCACCTACAGAAACTTGAAAAGCTGGGAGGAAGAAGATCTTTAATCCACATCATGTGGATTGTCCAGGAACATAATTGAGAATAATATATAAGAAGTCTTCAAAAATCATATTCCGCAGACTGAGTCTGATAAAGATTGCTGGGTAAATTCACTTCCCTACGTATTCTAGTTCTAAATCCATAGTTCCACAAATGTGAATACTAATAATACAGGAAATCAGTTCTGCCCAGGCATAGTTTTCCTCTCTGTTGAAAAAATGTGCAAAAACAAAGCCAAAAAAAAAAGAGCTAAAAGGCACAGAGCAAACATTCTTAAAATGTCTGTTGCCAGAATGATAGTGATAATTCATCAACAAAAATTTTGCAATATAAAAACATCAACTTTCTATGGTAATTAATATTCATATAATTACATTTTTATTTGCTAGCAAATCTAAGGCTACATATCAATTCAGAATCCACAAAGTCTCCCCACAACCACCCCCCAGATTCATTCATACCTAAGTTCATTGCTTTAATGAAGTATAGTGCCACCGTGTATCAGGATGATTCTAAATAATGTAGAAAGGAAATATGTCCTGGGGACATGAATAGCTGACTTTGTGTACATAAAATGAAAGCTTAGAATGCACCCAAATAAATGTTACACCTGGAGCTATCAAAGTTACACTTTGATGATGGAAGGAGAGAACTAGAATTTTGCCTGCAGATGAATATGCCTTTACTTAATAGGGAATTAAAAAAATAAAAGAACCCTTTTATAAAGAAGGTCTTTCTGAGCTCAGTGGTTACTTGGCAGGAGAAGTGTTGGTGTAGCATCACCATGGGTGTCTATGGGGCAGATCAGTGTTCTCTGTTAGTAACTGACTTGATTCTCATACCTGTTCAGCTTATTTCTGCTGATTATCAACCGTCTGCCGGGTACATCACACACATTAACTCTAATTTTAAGGACAGCATGTCCAGGCCTTAGATTCTTCTTTCCTCAGTCTACAGATGAGGAAACAGAAAGATTCTACTTGATACAGACAGTGAGGAGTGGAGTGAGGATCAAACCCCCGTCTACAGCACTCACTCCTCACACTTTCCCACTGCACCCCTTGGCCTCTTCTGTGCTGATGCTCCTTTCGTGATTCTCCTATCCTTAACTCAGGCACTCTTGTTCCATTTCCCCCCTTCCTTCCTCCCTATATCTCCTTGCCATAATTAAAACCTGGCTATACCTTAAATACCCCACATCTCTCTCATTATTGCTCTCCAGAGACCCCCCCCACCAAGGCCCACCTTGGGAGGAGACAAGAAGACATCAGTTCTCCTGCTGCCTCTAAGGGCATTCTCTAGTCCCCGGCTACCTGCCTTCCTCCTCCACTCATTTAAAATCTGTAACATACTCAACTCATCATTGCTATTGCCCCTGATTCCCAGATCTACGCACACCTTCTGGGATGACATCAGTACTTGGGGGGGGGTGTATGTAAAATATATGTGATATATTATTAACATAATGCATTATATTTGTTTATAAGTGTATAAAATATAGAATACATTTATTATATAATACTTTAATATAGATAATAAGATACATATTCTCTTTCTGAAATAACATCTTCCAACATACAGTTTGGCCTCAACTTTCTGTAATTGTCCCAAAATGTCCTTTGGAGCTGTTTTCCTGTTTTGTTGCTTTTGCTTTCTATTTTAAACCCAGGATCCTCTCAGGGTTTACCTACTGCATTTCAGTTGTTGTCTCTTTAATCTTCCTTAGTTTAGAAAAATCCTGTTGGATTCCCTTGCTTAGCTTTGTTAGCTCAGTATGCGTTCTCTCCAGAGCCCAGTGCCTTGGCCCTAAGGTCCCACCTCCCGCGTCGCTGTATCCACCCCTCCCTCAAGCACCTAGCATGGGCTTTGCACAAGGTGGCCATGCAGAGGCGTAGTGAAGGCCATGGACTCTAAACTCAAAAATGCCTATGTTTAAGTTCTGGCTCCAACACTTATCTACCTGACTCTTTGCAGTCATTAACCTTTGTAGACTTTGTCTTCTCATCTATATAATGGGGCAATAATAGAAATTGCCTCACTACTGCGAGGATGAAATCAGGTAACAGCACAGCGCCTAGCACAAAGTCACCATTCAGTTAATACTAGCTTCTAGCATTCTTTTCTAGTGAATTCTAACTACATATCCATAGGCACCAGGCAGTATTTCAGCAATAGAATGCTTTACAGCAGATAAGTGTCTGTGGTGGGGGAAGCGGGAGAATATACTGGGCAGGAGGCAGTCCAGGTTGTTAAAATGAGAAGCAGGTTAAGTCAGTGAAAAGCAAGTTGAGAAAGGAGTGAAACACCTTGACTTTCAGTTCACTAACTCAACATGTGACTTTTTATTCTCCTGTATAGAGCTCGGTGCTTAGACTAGAACATCTCTAACCTCCAACAAGTCATAGTTCTTGATCCCAAGAAGGGAGAACACATCTTCTTTTGGAGACAAGGGCTAGAAATCATAGGCAGATTCTGAAAAAGTAAATCAAGATGATAATAGTCACTATTTAGGGAATGCCTCCCCTAGGCCACATCAGGGGTTAAGTGCTTCAGTTACATCATTTCATTTAATCTCTATGACGACACGGTGAGGCAGTTATTAGGAAGTACTTTTGCACATGTGAAAACAGTAGCTAACAGTGGTCTAGCAACATGAGCAAGGTCACTGAACTACTAAATGGCAGAATAGGGATCCCAATCTAAAACTGACTCTAAAACCTCTCCTCTTAAGCACCATATCACCCTGTAAAAGAGACGGTGAGTGTCTGAGGCTGACAGGATGTTTGCTTAGGGTTTTGGAAACACAGCTTTTCATATGCTTCCATTTTTCATAAGCCATGTTTCCATCTTATTATGTGCCCTCAATTTCAAAACTTCAGAAAGAATTTTTGGAGAGAGGAAAAAAAAATTCCTAAAGTAGTAATAAGCAAGCTACAAATGGTTTATTTTACTTAATGTCACCCAGTCAGTGTCAAAGTAAGAAATCAAATCCAAAATAAATATTTCTATATGAAACTTTTTCCAAAATAGTTTTTGGTCTGACATCACCCACTGATTCTGAGCAATTACACAGCATAATTGAGAAACCCACAAGGGATTAAAATTAGATTGCTTAGACTTAAAACACAGATTTTCTAGATATGATTTATTTATAATTAATATGATATGATTTTTTATCCAAACTGAGGTATTATCTTTAATTGAAGTATAGTTGGTATACAATCTTATATTGGTTTCAAGGAAATTGAGGTACTTTTAAAAGGTGGTGCTTATTAGTACAACACAGAGAAGACAAGTAATGACTCCATAGCATCTTACTACGCTGTTAGACAGTGACTGCAATGTGGGGGGTGGTGAGGACTTGATAATATGGGTGAATGTTGAAACTACAATGTTGTTAATGTAAAACATTCATAAGATTGTATATCAATGATATTTTAATAAAATAAATAAAAGGGGGTGCTTATTAATGATTACACACACCAAGAAAAACAGGTATAAACTGGGATTGTGCTTAGATGTCTGATTTCCCTACTATAATACTTATGATTTTACTTTTAAACAACATATCAATATTAAGAGGCAATCTTAAGAATGCTTTGCCATCAATCCATTCATAATATGAAAGTACTTTAGAAACAGAATTGTGAGCATAAAATTGAAAATGCTATACTTTAATGTATAATTTATTACCTTTCACCAGCCTTAAAACATTGATTTTGAAGTTCTCTCTGTTGTCTTCATTCTTTTAAACATGCGTTATGTTTCTTTGGTCTGGAATGACTGGGCAAAAATTCCTTGTAATAAAAATCTTCCAAATCTAGTAATTTTCCCTGACTGTAAATAAACACATAAACACACCACAGTGTCAATCTAATTTTCTACTCATGTAAACTTACAGGACACTTATTTTGTTCTTTTAAACTATTTAATGTAATGCAGGAGTCACACATACATGTTAATAGAAATAGGAGAAGCCTTGAAATGTGCAAAAACAGTATATACCATAAATTAAAAAGAAAATCAAAACCCTTATTGCCCCAGTCAAAACCATTTATCAATAGACCAGGAAAAGCAGATTCTGTCCTGGGACAGTACAATTCATCCAAAATCTACCATATTTGTGTTCGTACTCTATGTGTTGCACTGTGTTAGCTCAACAAATTCCCAAAAGGCAAGATCTTATAAAGTACATATAAGTCACATATTTATAAATATATTGAAAGCACACTACTTCCCAAAACAATTCACATAAAATAGGTGATTTTCAATCATAATTTGACCATATGGACATATATTTTGGTTAAATAAGATGATTTACTGAAATCTGAAAATAGTAATTACCTATCTTTCCTTGGTCGTCTTTTTTCTTCTTGGATTGACTTCTAAAGGGAATAGAATTTTAAAAATCTATAAAACATTATGATCTTAATATAACTGATATATTACTATAGTTTTAGCATACATAAGTACATTTGTTCTTATAAAACTAATTTAGCAATAAGTGGATACCATATTTTTAAAATCTAAAGAAATATCATTTACTCAAATTTAACTAATTTTGAACTTGGGATTATTTCACCAGGCATGGAAGGCAATTAATCTTTGCAATTACATATGAAAAAGAGAGTTTTTTACACAGTGCTCAGTATACACAAGATTACATAAGGTCCATCTACCTACAAATGCGGGAACAAATACCAGAATGAAAACTCATCTCTCTACCACAAAAGCACTTGTAATTCAGGCAGGTTAATTGGGCTGCTATGATGTCTTGCTATATATCTTCCTTGTTTGCTGGGAAGATGGGTGGCTAGTGAGGGTAGGTGCTGCCATCCAAAAAAGAAAGGAAATATGACTTCACTAATCATTTATGGCACAAAAGTAGAAGCGTAGATTTTATATATGTTCATTTATAAGATATTTTCGTAGTTCAGAACTTCATCAAGGCACAAACTGGGATATTTAAGTATAGATGTAATTAGATATATTTTAATCAATACTTTAATTTGAGCACCTACAAATGGTACTTCATTCTACTTTTCATATAGAGCAATATTATCTTTCATATTGTAACATTAGTAATGTGATCCACTGTGTGCTGACACAATATATTTGAGCTCATATGTTTACATTTTGCAAGAACATATATGTCTTCATAGGCTGAGAAAACAAATATCACACCCACCTTGAACAAGCCAAAGATAATATAACTGTTGAAACCCTAATGCAGATTTCAAGCTGGCGGTGCCATAGAAGTGCAAGGTAATAAAAATGGCAATGAATTGTGGTTTGTAAATATTGAGGGTTTTCCCCAGTATTTTTGGATACACTAAATCATTTGTTTCTCATGATTTCTTGCTTGTAATATACTAAAATGTTGGATGAGTCTAACAGTTCTTGGCCTCTCTTACTCTTACTGGTTGGTATTTAGTGGGTGGATGAGGTAGAAATGAGCATAGGTGCATCAAGTCTGGAAGGGGACCATACAGGAAACAACAATGTTGGGGGCACGACACCAGTTACATTCCATCCTCCTTCCCATTTCCTATTACTTCACATTCTTGATCCAGTGCCATAAGCTAGGACATGCTTACAAAATAAGTACAATACCACCATAGGTATAATGACCCTGGCCATCTAGTCAGTGATCCCTGGGACCAGGGTGGGTCTGCTGTGGCTGTTGTGGTCAATTTAATATGACAGAGGTCCTGCCTCCTAGACCCATTATCTGAAAAATGTCTCTTTGCTGGTAACAATTTCTATAATCCAAAGTTATACTTACATGATAGCACTGTGTTGAGTGACAAGAGATCCCCCGTATACAACCAAGAATCGATAACATTCTGCCCCTGAGTTCTCAAGCTGATGAGGACCCCCTTTTATTCTGGACCAGCATCTCCTCTGGGAGATGGTGTACAGAAGCTGGTTCTCAGTTACAGGAATTCTTAGAAGAGGAAATGCTGCCCAGGCTTGTTTCACTCTTGCCTGTGTTAGAATATTCTAATGAAGTGTAATTCAGTAATATATCTTTGCAAAAATTATTTAAGATGATTTATAATAGAAGCAATTATACAATCAAGATAATAAAATAGGAGTTGTAAGTAAGGAACTAAGAGGGCAGAAGTGTGTGAAGATGGAGACCTACGTTTGTCTCTTAGTTTCCTAGCAGCAAGGTCAACAAGAAAAGCATGAAATTGCATCTTCACTGTGAAGAGGGAAGCGCACTGTACTCATGGGAGAGAGTTTAATACAAATTCTAACACCTGGGGCTTTATTTTAAGGACATTTATCACTGAGACAAAGAACATTTTCAATTATAGTTTTGAAATTACAGATTATCAACTTGAATTTTGGAGTGAAAATAAAGAAGCAAATGTCCCAAGGCAGTTTCTTACAGAACTAGAGTACAGAACAGGGAAAGAGGAGGGAAAAATAACTCACTAAAAATTATTTCAGTCATTTTTCCTAGATGGATTTAACCTTACATTCTTAAGGCAAACATTGTTGGGATAATTTTACACTGAGAAAACTTTGGCAGCAAGCTCATTCTCCCTGAAGTAAATCCTGAGTCACTGAACCTTGTATGCCTCACAGGGTAGGGACCCTTGTACTTATTCAAAAGCATGTGATGAGCAATTTTAAAAAAGATGACTTCAACGTATTTCTTGAGGACGCCTTCCTTTGAGAGAACAGAGGTCTCACCTCAGAGGACTTTGAAGACTCTGTTCCTCAGTCATTCCTTTTGGAAATATACCTACCATTTTATTCATGGAGAGGTCTTCCCAAGAATGAAGAAGGTAACCAAACCGGGGGAAACAAGGCCTCGGGGTGGCCCAAACTACCAATGTGGTGCATCAGGGAAGTTACTAGAGAAAATAATAAAACTCGACAGGGCCTTTGATATGAATGTGCTCCATTACTCAGTTTCTGAGGAAACTGTTGGCCCTGAGTCATTATTAGAAAGAGATGTGAGCCACAGATAAAGATTCAGAATCAGCAGCAAATGGGGTCATGAGATTACCCAAAGGTAATGAGAAGAGACAGTCTGAGATGGGGCGCTAGGCAGCACCGTGGTGGAGAGGAGCCTTCTCTCCAGGGAGAAGGGAGAGGACTAGGAGACTGGTTGGCTTGGAAGTCAAGTGGGAAGCTTCATCCCAGCAGATTGCAATCATTCTCTGGGTGCCATCTGGGCATGGAGAATCGCTGCTTTCTCAGTCTGGCAGAGGGACGTGGAAGAGTGAGTCAGTCCTGCAAAGGGAAAGGCTGGCAGGCACAAAGGACTCGGGGGCAGCTAACCATGGCAGGTAGCATGGGAACCGGGAGGTGAGACTGAAGGGCTTCCTGGCCCCAGTGAGGACGGCCTCGGGAGGGCTGGGCTTTAGCTAAAGGAACCATCAGGGGAGAAACACAATCACATTTCTGTCTTAGAGGGTTTCTGGCATGAGCTGGAGAGGCTGACGGGAAGCAGTGATGTGGGGCCTGCACTGTTCTCAAGGAGGAATGTGATGGTCTTAAGGAGAGTCAGTGCTGTGAGGTGAGAGAAGGGACATGAACTGGAGGGGGCTTTGCCAGTGGGAGCCACACTATGCAATGACTAGTTGGATGTCAGGTAAGAGGGAGAGGGCAAGATCAGGATGGCTCCCAAGTCCTTGGTTTAGGTAATTGAGGGGATGATGGTGGTATGCATGGAGGACAGGAGCAGAAGAGGAAGGGTGGGCTGGCAGGGGTGATGCCCAGGAGCCCTCACACTGCCTAGTGGGCAGGAGCTGAGCAGTCGGAAGGCCTCAGGACAGTCAACCCTGGCAGAGGAGGACAGCCTTATCTGTGCCCAGAGTCCTGATCCACAAGATGGGAATCCACCTTAAGGGCTGTTTCCAGGACTAGACATCACAAAGTATGTGAACGTGCCTCACTCTAGGCCTGGGATTTGAGAGCACTCAGTAAAAGGCTCCATCTGTCCCTCCTTCCACGTCTTCTAATTTCATCATAGCTCGCCCCCTTACATTATAGCCCCTCTCTGGAGAGCCCTGCTTTCATGTGTTTCTTTTTCAGGGTTGATATTTGCATATCGTCTCAGATTAATGGACCAGCAGAGAGAATGGCGGGGATGATGTGGGTTTACAGGACTATGGGAGAGACTCAGACCCAGAGGAAGAGGAGCATTAGTGCATGCGATGGGGCCCATCTGATAAGAAGAGTGAGCCACTTACATGTAGCAGACAGTAGTATGTGGAGTCTTCAGGGCTGTTTAATGTTTTGGATTTCTGGGGCCTTTTTGGGGATCTTAATATTTTTGGTTCGTCTCCATTAGAAATACCTGCAAGAAAGGTGATCATAAACAAGTGTTCAATTACAAAGACTATTATCAAGCAGTGTTCTCCTTTTGGGGGAATAGGAAATTACACACATACAATTGGAGCTAAAGTGCAAGAGGAAATACCTTTGTCCCTCCCACCAACCCTTATATTCCTGACCACATGCTTCCTTCCCATTGTCGGGTAGTCTAGGACTTTGAACGCTAAGGGAAAGGAAAGAAGAGTAAGAAAAGAAATGCATAGTTTGGTAATGCAGCAAAGGTTCAGCAGTTCAGAGGATGGATTGGGAGAGGGGTCAAAGCCACCATACAACATTTAAAGAGGGGTCTAATGCTCATAGAATCTTGCTGTCCCCTTCCCTCCCTCAGCACTGGCCTTACACAGTGACCCACCCATCCAAGCACTGCATGGTGCTCACATTGATACCCCCTGTGCTGTACCCAAACAAGGAGAATGCTCATGTGTAGCTTGATTCTTTTAAAAATCCGATCTACTCTTTCACCAAGATTTAGAACCTCAACTATTAGACTTCTCAGCTGTGTCTTCAAAAACCTTGACCAAGAAAGAATAATGTTGGTCATCTTTTCCTGCTTTGTCAATATAGCCAAGTTCTCAAAGCAGTAGCAATATGGTGAGACCTTGTGATGATCTGCACACCCAGTGGTTAGTGCTCATTCCAAGTGGCTTTGTATTTACAGAGCTAACAGGCTTGCCATGAAGCCTTCCTGTTTCTCATGATTTTTCACCACCCCATCTTTCAACTGCATTTGTGCAGGAATTTCTGCTCGATAGATATATCAAGATCAGGTGGGAGTGGAGTATGGATACTTATTGAAGGATGACTTACACTCAACAGGTATCTGGGCATGCATCTCCTAGCAGGATGTTAAGGGCAGGAACAGATCATTATTACATATAATCGTAATCCTTAGATGTAGAAATACACAGAGAAACCGAATTTCTCCAAACAATACTCATCAAATCAATGCAAGTAGAAACAAGTCAATGAATATTTAACACTTACTGTGTGTAAACAACCATAATTGGCAGTTTCAAGCAGCATAGAGACTTATACTATCCAACTTTCTAGGCCCATGTCCAGCCTACCAGGTGAACATACTTATCACTTATAACATTCATATTCTAACATTATCCATCTCATTCCTTTCAAATTGCTGATGACAAAGACAGGTCAGCTAGTTGGGGAGTACTTCATTGAGGCGGCATGCATGGAACAGTGCTAATCAGAGAAAACCACTCAGTCATGCATTACCATCCTTTTACTCATGAAACAAGGGAAAATGAGATCTTTGTTGATGAGACTATGTTAACTGAGATTTGTGATAGACAGGAAGAGTGAAGGCACTTTTCCAACCAATCTCTGAGGTTGGGCCCTGTCTCCTTTCTTCTCCACAGTAGTAGACATTCAGATCTTTGATCCATTTTGGTAGATGAATGGATAAAGAAGATGTGGTACATGTACACAATGGAATATTATTCAGCCATAAGAAGAAAACAAATCCTACCATTTGCAACAACATGGATGGAGCTAGAGAGTATTATGCTCAGTGAAATAAGCCAGGCAGAGAAAGACAAGTACCAAATGATTTCACTCATATGTGGAGTAAAAGAACAAAGAAAAACTGAAGGAACAAAACAGCAGCAGAATCACAGAACCCAAGAATGGACTAATGGTTACCAAAGGAAAAGGGACTGGGGAGGATGAGTGGAAAGAGAGGGATAAGGGCGGGGAAAAAGAAAGGGGGCACTACGATTAACATGTATAGTGGGCGGTGGCACGGGGAGGGCTGTGCAACACAGAGAAGACAAGTAGTGATTCTACAGCATCTTACTATGCTGATGGACAGTGACTGTAATGGGGTTTATGGGGGTTGGACTTGGTGAAGGGGGGAGCCTAGGAAACTTAATGTTCTTCATGTAATTGTAGATTAATGATAACAACAACAACAACAAAAACTTAAGATACTTCTTCTTTTGTTCTTCAATAAGCTCAGACTTCTCCTAGATCCAGATTAGTTAAGGTCTTGTTTCCAATTTTAGTTCCCATTCCCCCACAAAATGACTTATCTTCTGGTTACCTTTTTGGAACCCTGACACACCATGGTTATAGCTATAACTTTTCTTATTCTCATCTTCTCATAGAAAAATTTTGCATAGCTTCACTGAAATCTTAAGCATCCTTCAATGCTTGTCTCCCATGCCACCCCTTCCATGAGCTTTGGTTGACTGGTCAGTGAGTTCCCTCTTACAAGAACACCAACTGTACTTACAGACTTACTCTTGAAGATGTCTTTGTAAGTGTGAATTGTTTCCCCTCAATTCATATGTTGAAATCCTCATTTCCAAGACCTGAGAATGTGACTGTATTTTGAGAAAGGGACTTTAAAGTGAGGTCATTAGGGTGGCCCTAATCCAGTATGACTGGTGTCCTTATAAGAACATATTAGGATACAGACTCACATGGAAGGCAGACCATGTAAAGACATGAGGTGAAGATGGCTAACAGCTGCCTACAGGCCAAGGAGAGGCCTCAGAAGGAAACAACCTTGCCAACACCACCCTGAACTTCTAACCTCAGAACTGTGAGGAAATAAATTTCTTCTTTGTAAGCCACCCAGTCTGCAGAAATTTGTTGCAGCAGCCCTAACACAGTAATATAAAACCTTACTATATTATACATAATAAAACTGTACTTGTGAATTTTTTTTTAAATAGTGAGACCACATGTTTTGGGATGGGGGGATCATTACTTAAGTTTTAATGCTCTTCTGCCTTGTTACTGGTGGTCTGCATGTGGTAGGTGTTTGAAGATGCTAAGAAGCTTGATTGGTTCCATTCTAGCTTAGAGACACAGTGCTAAGTGAATAGCAGATATGCTCTGTACTTTTGTTAACTGATCACTGTAGTCGCCACATATAAAAATGAATTTCTGATTCTTTAAAGATAAATGTAAATAAAAGAATTAACAAAACTCTTAAAAGAGAATCCCAAGGACTTCATGAAGAATCTATGGGTGCAAATGTCTTAACCAAAATTCAGAAGTCTTAAGAAAGGCAGACATTCCTGCCTCATAAAAAATAGACGAAAAACCTTAACATGACAACATGGCCAAAGAACACATGATAGATCTGGCAAACTGTATTTACAGCACAGATGACAAGTAACAGGTTAGTATTTCTAACACACAAGAGTGCTAACAAATGACTACAAAAATACAAACCGAATGAAAAATGGGCAAAAGATATAAACAGGATGTCGAAGGTGAGCAAATCCAAAAAGCCTACAGCATGGGAAGGCACCTGAGCTTGCTAGCAGATGCAGAAATATAAACTAAGAAAACAGGAAAATACCATTTTACTTCAGACACATTAGCAAAGGTTAAAGAGAAGAATAACACTGCTGAACAGAATGTCAGAAAAAGTCTATTCTCACAAATCATTGAAGGAAATATCAGCTGTTAGGGCTTTCAAGAAATTAGTTTATCAAAACTCAAAATATCTTTCAACTCAACCCTCCCTGAGGACTTATGCCATAAAAATAAAACCCTCGTATACAAGGGCATTTTCAAAGATGTTTACTGCAACATTTCTCATAGTGCCAATAAGTTAAAACAAAGTGAAAATCTAACAGGGAAATGGTTATACAAATTACTGGGCTACATGCATGAAATATTATACATCTATTGAAAAGAATGAACTATGGGTATTGCAGTTGCTGTGCAGGGATTCCAGATAAGGTTCTGGAGAGAAAGAGCAAGGTATATAAATGTTCATATTATGATCCTATTTATAGAAAAATGACAAAAATCTCTGTGTGTGCATGTGTGTGTAAGCCCACGTATGCATCTCCACAAAAAACATAAAAGACAACATGTTTTATAATAAAGGGTTCCTTGAGAGGAGCATAATGTGTGAGTTGAGGAAGGAGAACAGGGAGAAAGAAACAGAAAAAAGAAAATGAAAAAATACTGCTCTCAAAGGAATCCTGGAATGTATGGTATGATCACAATTATGTGAAATTGTAAGTATTTTTTTTTAAATAGTGGGACCATATATTTTGGATGGGAGGATCATTACTTAACTTCTACATGTAAGTAGGCATGCAGGGATGTGTGTATTATAGAGATAAAAAATGTCAAAATGCCACAGAAGTCCACAGATCTCCCAACACAAGGGACCCAAGGAGGACAACAACAAGACATATAATAATTAAAATGGCAAAGATCAAAGACAAGGTCAGAGTATTAAAAGCAGCTACAGAGGGAAAAAAGATCATCTACAAAGGAAAACCCATCAGGCTATCATCAGACTTCTCAGCAGAAACCTTACAGGCCAGGAGGGAGTGACATGATATAGTCCATGCAATGAAACAGAAGGGCCTCAAGCCAAGAATACTCTACCCAGCAAGATTATCATTTAAATTTGAAGGAGGGATTAAATAATTCCCAGATAAGTAAAAATTAAGGGACTTTACATCCCCCAAACCATCTCTACAGTGTATTTTAAAGGGACTGCTCTAGATGGAAGTGTGCCTAAGACTAAAAAGCTGTCACCAGAGAAAATAAAACCACAGCAAAGGAAGTAGACCAACTAAATACTAACCAAATGCAAAATTAAATCAGCTACCCACAAAGTCAGTCAAGGGATACACAGAGTACAGAATATGACACCTAACATATAAAGAATGGAGGACGAAGAAAAAGAAGGGAAAGAAAAAAGAAACATCAGACTGTGTTTATAATAGCGTAGTAAGTGAGTTAAGGTAGATGCTAGATAGTAAAGAAGCTGCCCTTGAAACTTTGGTAACTACGAATCTAAAGCCTGGAATGGCAATAAGTACATATCTATCGATAATCACCCTAAATGTAAATGGACTTAATGCACCAATCAAAAGACAAAGAGTTACAGAATGGATAAAAAAGCAAGACCCATCTATATTCTGCCTACAAGAGACTTACCTCAAATGCAAAGACATGCACAAA